ACTAAAAGCAGAGTCTTTGAAAAGATAAAGAAAATGGATTAATCTTCAGCTAGACACACTTAAAAAAGAAAAAGAGGACTCAAATCAAATCAGAAAGAGGAGACATTACAACTGACACCATACAAACATAAGAATCATAAGAGACTACTATACTATAAAAATGATATAGCAATAAATGGGACAACCAAGAAGAAAACAGATAAATTCCTAGAAACATATAACCTATCAGAACTGAATCATGAAGAAACAGAAAGTCTGAACAGACCAATTACTAGTAAGGAAACTGAATCAGTAATCAACAGCCACTCAACAAAGAAAAGTCCAAGACCAGACAGCTTCACTGGTGAATTCTACCAAACACTCAAAGAAGAATTCTCAAACTATTGCAATCCTTCTCAAACTATTACAAAACCTGAAGAGGGCATACTTTCAAAAATCACTCTACAAGGCTTGCATTAACCTGCTACCAAAATCAGACAACATTAGAATAAAAGAAAAGCAGGGGCACCTGGGTGGCTCAGGCAGTTAAGTACCTGACTTCAGCCCAGGTCATGATCTCGTGGTTCACCAGTTCCAGCCCCACGTTCAGCTCAGTGCTGACAGCCTGGAGCCTGCTTCAGATTCTGTGTCTCCCTCTCTCTCTCCCCCTCCCCTGATCTATCTCTTTCTGTCTCTCTCTCTCAAAAATAAACAAACATTAAACCAAAAAATTTTTTTAAAAAGAAAATCACACAACAAAATCCCTGATGAACACAGATGTAAAAATCCTCCACGAAACATAAGCAAAGTGAATTCATCAATACGTTAAAAAAAATCATACACCATGATCAAGTTGAATTTATTCCAGGAATACAAGGATGGTTCAACATCTGCAAAACAGCGTGATACACCACATTAATAAAATGAAAAAAAAATCACGATGATCTCAATAATGCAGAAAAAAAGCATTCTACAAAATTCAACATCCATTCATGATAAAAAGTCTTAAAATTAGGTGTAGAAGGAACATATCTCAACATCATAAAGGCCATATATGACTAGCCCAGAGGAACATCATATTCAATAATGAAAAGCTGAAAGCTTTTGCTCTAAGATCAAAGACAAGGATGTCCACTGTTACCACTTATTCAACTTAGTACTGCAAGTTAGAGCAATTAAGCAAGAACAAAAAGGCATCCAAATTAGAAAAGAAGTAAAACTTTCTCTCTTTGCATCTGACATGATATATATAGAAAAACCTAAACACTCCACCAAAATCTGTTAGAACTACTAAATGAACTGAGTAAAGTCGCAGGATACAAAGTCAATATACAAATATCGGTTGTGTTTCTGTAAACTAATAACTATCAGAAAGAGATTTAAGAAAATAATCCCATTTATAACTGCATCAAAAAATACCTTGGAATAAATGTAACTAATGAAGTAAAAGATCTGTACAGTAAAAACCAAGACACCAATGAAAAAAATTGAAGAAAACACTAATAAAATGGAAAGCTATTCTGTGCTCATGGATTGGAAGAATGAAATATTCTTAAAATGTCTACTACCCAAGCAATGTATAGATTTCAATGCAAACCCGACCAAAATCCCAATGGCATTTTTTTCACAGAAACAGAACCATCCTAAAATTTGTACAGAATAACAAAAAACTCTGAATAACCAGTCCTGAGAAAGAAAAAGAAGGCTGGAGGCATCACTTTCTGATTTTAAACTATATTAAAAAGCTTTAGTAGTCAAAACAGTATGATACTGGTGCAAAAACAGACACATAAATCAATGGAACAAAACAGAGAACCGAGAAATAAACCCATGCATATATGGTCAATTAATTTTTGACAAAGGGGCCAAGAACAGTCAATGGGGAAAGGACTATCGCTTCAGTAAATGGTGCTGGGAAAACTGGACAGCCACATGCAAAGAATGAAACCACACCTCTAATCTTCTACATAACTCAGCTTCTCTGCACTTTTTCTACTTTCTTCCTACATTTTGTATCTCCTAACAAACACTTACTATTCTGCTGGTCTTTTGTCAACATTCAGTATGCATTTAAATATTTATCTAATAAAATCATGTAACATATAATATTTATATATATATCTAAGGATTCAAATATTACCGCCTAGAACCAGTTTTCCCATTTAAAAAAGTGATTCTTTCTCTAACTGGCAGAAATTTTCCAAAGTTTCTACCTTTCATTTGGAGAGGGAAATCAGTTTGTAATTTCAAATGTCTTAATCCTTCAGTTAAACATTACCATTATATTCTTGATTATCGAAATTTCTTTAGTCTATCATTGGTCTCCCAGTAATACTGTTAAAGGGTCTGTAAAATTTTCATAAAATTTAACAGGCCAAAGAAAAGCTGTTCCCTCTTTTTGAGAGCTTTTATAAAGTCAAACATAACATAAACTGAATGTCTATTATATATCATACTTTCACATGTGTTATCTCATTTAATCTCTTTTATTATTCACATTTTCCAGAAGAGAGCACTGCAATTCAGAAAAGCTAAACATGGTGTCAAAGGTTATACATAAAGTAAGAAAAGTCAGGCTTTGATCTTAAGTGTGTCTGCTCACAAAGCCAAGATCATTCTACTACCAGGGGTTGGCAAACTCAATATAGAGCGCCAAAGAGTTAACATTTCAGGCTTTTTGGGCCAAATGTCTCTGTCACAACTACTCAACTCTGCTGTTGTAGCCCAAAAGCAAATGTAGACAATATGGAAACAAATGTAAATAGGTGTGTTTCAGTAAAACGTTATTAATAAAAACAGGTGAAGGGTCAAATTTAACTCAAGGTCCATAGTTTGCCAATCCCCTCCACTTTCCTACAATGCAAAAACCCCTATTGGGTTTTCATTAACGCCACTAAATTTTATCTCTCTTCAAAAAAGTATGACCCTGGTCTCACTGAGAAACTAAAACAAAATTCTTTTTAATGTTTGTTTATTTTTGAGAGAGAAAGAGAGACAGAGTGTAAGCAGGAGTGGGGCAGAGAGAGAGAGAGACACAGGATCCCGAGGCAGGCTCCAGGCTCTGAGCTGTCAGCACAGAGCCTGATGCAGAGCTTGAACTCATGAACCCCAAGATCGTGACCTGAGCTGCAGTCAGATGCTTAATCGACTGAGCCACCCAGGCGCCCCTCACTGGGAAATTTTATTTGAATGCTTTTCTTACGAGGCTCGATTATTTGAGATAGGTCACTCTTGGAGGAATACGTTCAGCCTTTTACATAGTCTAACTATAATGCCAATTATACCAGAAATCAATCTATAAATAAGATGAAACATGTCTAAAACTACAGTACTGGCATGCACTAAATTCTCAGTGTGAAAAAGTCAAACACCCATAAAGTTCTCCCTGTTGAACTTTTTTCAGTTAGTATCTAATTTCAGTTGCTCAATCTATAGGAAATACACATAATCACAGGGCCCCGCCGACATACACAGCCAAGCAACAATAGCAAATATCCTTTTAGTTATACAAAATGATCATCTATACTAAAATTATCTAAATACGCTGAACTTAAAGACCTTATTCTTTTTTTTTTTTTTTAATTTTTTTTTTCAACGTTTTATTTATTTTTTTTGGGACAGAGAGAGACAGAGCATGAACGGGGGAGGGGCAGAGAGAGAGGGAGACACAGAATCGGAAACAGGCTCCAGGCTCCGAGCCATCAGCCCAGAGCCTGACGCGGGGCTCGAACTCACGGACCGCGAGATCGTGACCTGGCTGAAGTCGGACGCTTAACCGACTGTGCCACCCAGGCGCCCCAAGACCTTATTCTTTAGAGAGACCTCCCACTCCCTTATTCTAAAACTTAATTAAATGTACCACCACTGAAATTGTTATTATTTAATACAAAGGATTCAAGCAGTATGAAATGACATGAACAGGAAAGAAAAATTCCCCTTCTCCATCAAGGACTGTGGTCTTTCTCCTCTTTCTTCTACCCTACCTTCCTTCCTCACGTGTGCACATGCACCCACACCCTTGTGCATGCTGTCGTTCCGTGTTGTCTACCTGCCTGCCTCTTTCTCGGTCTCGTCTGTGTGTGTGTGTGTGTGTGTATCTCTCCCTCTCTCACACACACACACACATACACACACACAATTTCAAAACACAATCCAAGTCCAAATTATGCACAAGATCAGGCTTCAATACCAACCGTATACACAAAACACAGAGGGGAAGATTCAAAAACACAAGATCAGATTCAAATCCCAGTTCTACAACTAAAACCAGCTGAATACTCACTTACTAGCTTTGTGCCTTCAGTAACTACTTAATTAATCTCTATTAGTCTGTTTGCTCATCTACAAAACTGGGGGACACTGTACCCACCTCACGTGGTTGTTTTGTGCATTAAAGTGAGAATTGGAACAACATGCCCACTGCATGGTGTTGGTACTTGGTCAAGTACTTAAAACTTGTTGCTGCCAACCACCCCTACTAGCATTATTTGGGGCAGGTCTTACTAAGATCTATTGTTATTCCTGTATACAGTGGGAAAAGCACTCCTTCCGATGGTATATACGACAATAACTTTTTAAAGAACCTTGCAAATTCTTATCATAATTGTTTAAAGTCAAAGGGAAAAAAGGTCCTTTTTCTCAAAAACTTAACATTCCCTTGAGAAACTTTAAAAAATTGAAGTCTGTTTTTATTCCTGAAAAGAAATGAGAAGTTAACATTTTTCACTTTCTCCCTCATTATCGTAGATATTCTTAAACCAAAACATACATATTGAAAGACCTCGTATGTTGCTTTTTAAAGAAAGTCACTCAACACTAATAAATAATCATAAATGGATTTGGTTAAAAGGGAATGTCAGATTAGAGTCTACTTTCTCAACCCCAATACATTCTCAAATTCACCAAGTTTGGAGTATATTTTTGTTGTTTTTTGTTTCCAATCCTCTGCACTTAAAGGAACCACATGTTAATAACTGTATGCTACAGCTGTTCTAACATCAGTGAACATGAACATTTCTTACCAAGTTACGCTTTTTTAGTGGAAGAAAGTAATAATAGTGGCAGAAAGAAAACATCAGTGCGTAGGAAGTAAGAAGTTCTGTGTAGAAACACAACTGCAGAAAAAGCCAATGATTATCTTCGCCAACACAATTGTTAATCCTGAAGAAAAAAATGAAAACAGAAACAATATTTTCAACTTTAATAAAATGTTAACCTTGGGGCTGGTAAAAATAAACACAAACAACTTCATATTATGCTTGACTTCCCGGAGATATGCTAACATCACCTAAACCTAAAAGCAAACCGTGCATAGGAAAAGCTACACTACAAATATGCCTCCTCACATTTGTAAAGCACTTTCTACTTGACAAAAAGGAAGTCCGTGGAGATGATCTGCCTTCAAGTCACAACCACCCAGTGTGGCAGGAAGAGCAGATGGCAGTCTCCCCGTTTCACTGATAGGGGAGCAGGAACAAAGGAGTTAAGACACTTGCCAGAGGAAGAGACAGTAGCCAAGAAAACAAGAGCCTTCTATATATCGCTCTCCCATTCCAGCATTCCAGCTGTGGAGAGCAATTCGAACGATTGGAAGCAAAAGAACTTAAAACCTGCCGCTTTGACATTACTGCTAAGCATTCGCAATTTTTCTTACTTTTAAAATCCACCCTTAGTTGCTGGAAATAAACACATATCCAAAAGTATTTACAAATTCTCAGAGCTACACTTCCACCAGGACAATAGTGAACCATAACCAGGAAAAATAATTAACGTTATCATCCTAACATTTTCAAGGCTAATGCAAACTCAATATTTTATCGTTCCAAATTTATTTATCATACCCCAATTTTCAAAATATTTTACAACTCCAGCAGAAAACCCTAGCCCAGAACCATAATTTACTTTTACAAATGTTTTCATTTCACTATAGCATTATACTGCCATTGTTTGGGGGGGAGGGGGGGAGATACAACAGGTTCAGTTCCTAACAAATTGTTGTTTTAAAGGTGTATCATTGAAACTACTTTTTAAAATCAGACATAGAATGAAATGGAAAACCTGCAGAAGCATTTCCTAAACTTAAGATCTCAGGCTTTGTAAACACGAGAATGCCTGGGTTTTGCTACTCGCAAGCAGGGCTTTCTTTCGCAAGCAGGAAGCGTGCTCGTGTGTGATCTCAAACACACTCTTCACCAGCTGTTGCTTCCATGACTTCTGCTCACCCCATTCTCCTCGTCCTGCCCAAATTTAAGACATAACTGCTATGATGATGGCATTCTTCTTAACCGGAGGGCTTTAAGAAACACTAAGGTACTCAGTCTATATGTAAGAGTCCTTTCAGTAACAAGCTATTCAGAAAGAGTAATCAGAGCCTGAAACAGAAAATCTCAAGGTGACCTGAGAACTGACCTCCAAATCTAAAGCTCTTAGGCAGTTACGATAATGCAGTTTCTGAAAATCTCAAAAATTCTCTTTGCTTCCAATTTACACTGTCCACTGCCCTTACCCTCTGACTATCTCAGCAATGCTCTACTAAGGAATTCAATCAGGAAAGTCCCTCAGTCTTTTTAAGGCCACTGGTCTACCCTCCTTTCCTACCTCCAACTCTTTCTACTTCCACTCTTCTTCCCACCAGGACTCTGAGAAGCTGACGAAAACCACAGAAGAAACCGACAGACAGACAGCTCACCCCAATCTCAAAATTTAGGCTAATAGCACATTTTTTTTGTCACCAAGTTAATCTTTATTCCTTAAAATAAGGAATATCGCTAATCTCTACAGGACCAAAACATCTCCTAGTTGATTATTTTAAAGCTTAAAATAATGCATTCCTTTCAAAGGAAGGACGGGTATCCAACTGTAATTTGAACATTCATTACATATTTAATTAGTTAATCAGAAACAGTACTCTAAAAAAGGGTATGCAGTTGAGTTTTTCAGTGTGATTACCACTTACCCAATAATACATGTTTTACCTAGCCTTTTCTTTTTAGTCTATTACTATTATAGTTGTAAACAGATCACTGAGGTTTAGAAATTCACTTGAGAATTAATCTGTTGAAATTCAAAGCATATTTTTTAAACATCAACTATATATTAATATACTACACTATCCCGTTAATGGAATCAGACAATTTTAAGCCTTTTTATATAGTAACCAAGTGCTTCTATCTAAAATGCTTTTTTAAAAAATGCTTTTATTTTTTTCCTAATCTCAGGAAATACTTTCTATTTAAATAATAGATTTATAGTAAAAATCCAATTTTCACTAAAAGCTTGGTAACCAACCTTAAATGATGCTATCAAAGTAAGTTATCAAAAAATATGGGGAACTCTAAATTGATCAGCATTGTCAAAGCTAAACTCCACCCTTAAGTCAACTACAGATAAATGCAGTTATAAATTTCAAAAGCCCATTGTGCAGTTAACTTTGTATATATGCATGTATGAGTGTACAAACATAAATATATATGTATTTAGATATATTTACAAAGTGCTACGCTATACTAGTTTAAATATTTATACAGAGATCCCATGCTAGGAAAACAGAATTAAATACAATATCTTGCTCACAGATTTTTGTGACAGCTTTGAAATGAGATACAATGCAGAATTCTCACAGCATTTGTTTTCAAAACGCTAGTTCTCAACTGAACCGTTTTTTAAAATATTACAAGAGAGCCCCCTATTGACCAAAAATGTTGGCAGTTCAGCAGAAGCAGTGAACTACCACTTGTACATATCCAGCATGCGTGTAATGTGCAAAATGTGCAAAAATGACTTTGAGAGTTGATAGAACCTGATAGAAAAAGGTATCCTTATTATCCTCACTAAAGGGTTTTTTTTTAAACTGCATAACTTTAATAACTTTTGTTTAACTGCATAACTTTAATATAACTTTTGTTTAAATATGCTAAGTCCTAAGATTTATTTTTCACTGTTTCTTTCTTTTTTCTTCCTAAAAGTAAATTATCCATTTCTTACCACGGACAGTGATGATCCATTCTCCTCACGCAGTGCCCGCAGCGGCTACAGTGATGGGATCGCTTTGGTCTCATCAAATTACATTTGTTACATAATTCCCAGAACTCCCGTTCTAGAGAAGGAAATTAAAATCCATTTACTAAAGGCAAAAGAGTACTGCTGAAATTTAGCAACAACAGTTTAGAAGACTTTATAGGAAGTCCTCCCTCTCTCTCTCTTTCATAGATAGATAGATAGATAGATAGATAGATAGATAGATAGATAGATAGGAAGATAGATCCAAGAAAATATTCTTCTTCTACATCTTCACTGTAAGAGAGTTTGACATAAATATTGCTGTTCTACTCTATTAAAGTCTTATTCTGTACACTTCTAATTTTAAACACTATAATAGTAAGACACTATTAGTAGTCAAACTAAATGATAGAAAGTAACGCATCTGGGTTTCGGATAAACTGCTATCAGTAAAATTTAATGACAAAACCCTAAAGTAAAACCGGTTATTATATTTCATTTATTTTTCTTAATGTTTATTTTTGAGAGAGAGACAGCAAGCGGGGGAGGGGCAGAGAGAGAGGGAGAGACAGAATCCCAAGCAGGCTCCAGCCTCTGAGCTGTCAGCGCAGAGCCCAACACGGGGCTCAAACTCACGAACCGCGCGATCATGACCTAAGCTGAAGTCGAACGCTTAACCGACTAAGCCACCCAGGCACCCCAGCAAATCATTATAGTTAAACAGAATTTTATGTAAACAAATTTATTTCTAGAAATTTTATTAACTAAAAAAGAAATAATGCTGAATCCTGGTTTCATAGACTAAGAAATCAAAATTAATCCTATTAACTCATTAGAAAAACAGAGATAGCATTCCCACCTCCCAAACTTTCTATACTTTAATATCAATAAATTCATTTGGGAGTGTTTATAGGAGAGGGTTGGAGGTATTAGAATGATTTCAGAAGTAAAGAAGATTATAAGATAATTACTATTTAATGGAAATAAGGGAGTTCTTTACAAAACTATTTCCTACAATCAAGTAGCAATTTCTTTTAAGTTGTAATTAAAGAGTACACATTTAAGTTTTGTGCTAAAAACATTAGGTTTACAGAAATAAAGAGAAAAGTCATTTGTTTTCAGCATAGGTCTTTCTAATGAGATCTATAAGAACTACAGGAAAGTCATCTACCAACACAAATGCTTTATGACACAGAATGTATCTATTTAATATTTGTTAAAAGGGAATTTTACAGAATTCTTAAACCTTTTTTAACACTTAGGTTCATTTTTTTCCAACCCTATGTTTATACTACACTCTAACCTTGTTAAAAGCCTGGGCATAGTAAAATTAACCTGACTCCAAATATTCAGAATGAATTATCAGTATATGCAAAGTATGACAAGCACACATATGACTAAATACCTGCTCAAGTATAAAGTTTAAATGTTTAAAAACAAAACATTTTAAATATGAGTAAAAGAAGATAATACCAGGTAGTATTCAATTTTCTAAGAAGATATCCTATTTTAATTTCATTATTTTAGTTTAATGACAAGAGTAAAATCAATATACAAGAATTTTATATAGTGAAGTATTATGAAAACTTCTGCTACAGAAGAAATCAATAATAATAACAAATTAATTGTTCCAATAATATTGAAGTTGAGAAAGTATCTTTTGCATCAAAAATTTCATTTTAAAATAAAATCTTTTCACTTCTTACTTACAGTTCTTATTTTAATGAAAACTTATGTGAGAGAGCAACACTAAAGTTTAATTTAGATACACTAGTATTCTTTGTGAGTGAAATGAAAACTAATTTATATAATATCACAAGCAGATCTCTCTTTTCCCACTTAGCCGCTGAAACAGCCAAACATCCTAATATTAAAAAACCCTGAATTCACATATTGCAAAGATTAGAGTCAGAAAGTAGACCCTCCCTGATGAGCCGATTTTCATTAAAAGACAACATAAAAACATTATGTCTTAAACCAGTGCCTTAAAATATAAATATGGCGTATTCATTATTGGTCATTTCAGCATCTGATACTTTACACTAGTAAAATTCTTTCATAATTGAAATGTTGTAACCTCAGAAAAGAAGACAGCATTTGGCTATAGTCAGAGAAAGCCTGTAATTCTGGAGTCCAGACCACCGGTTGGCAAGCTATAGTCCACAGGCAAATCATGAGCTAAGAACGGTTTTTACAATTTTCAGTGATTGAAAAGAACAAGAAGAATTTGTGAAATGTAAAACACATGATATTTGAATTCCAGTGTCCATACATAAAGTTTTATTTGAACACAGCTAAGCCCATTCATTGACACATTATCTATAGCAGCTTTTGGGCTACAGTAGCAGAGCTAAGGGGCTGTATGGTCTATAAAGCTCAAAATATTTACTATCTGGCCCTTTACAGTAAAGAAGAGTTTGCCAATGTATGGTCTGGATCATAAATTTGCTTAAAGAAAGAGTTGAGCTAAATTGGTTAAATTTCAGAAACTATACAAGTATCTAAAGTGAGAAATATCTTTGAAAAACTCATTTTCACACATATACACACCTATGTGTGAGGGGAACAAAGGAAAAAAACGCACTACTTTAAATATCTAGAAATTTAATTAAAGTATCATCTAGGTTTAGGCCTTGTATAGCAAGGGAAAAAAAAAATCTATCCACCTTAACCTATCCTACATATCTATAAACCATTTCTTGATCTTCTCCCTTTCCTTAAGGTTTATTCATGTTCAAATGTGACCTTGGAGACTGATATATTCTAAGGTCTGAAGACTTTTGCACTAGCCATCTAATATAAAATAAAAGCCTACGGGAAAGAATCAGAAGGCAAAATACAATTTGTAAGTGATGAAAATAAAAATTTTTAATTTAAAAAAAAGCCTATAGGAGAGAGAATCCAGTTGCTAATTTATGGTAGTTACAGAAAAATTGAAAACTGATTTTTTTCTTAAAGGAAATGTTTAAAGGAAAAAAAATTGAAAGTGACTTTTTTAAGGAGAGAAAAATCAAAACATAAAACAAATTAAAGAAAATGAGTAAACCTAAGTAACCTAAGTGAACATTATCACATTGTTTTGCATGGATCCTCGTGTGTGTGTGTGTGTGTGTGTGTGTGTGTGCGCGCGCGCGTGTATGTCCGTTTATTATTTTTTGTTATTTACTTAAGTTCAAGTTAGTTAACATACAGTGTAGTATTGGTTTTAGGGGTACAATATAGTGACTCCTCACTTACATACAACACCCAGTGCTCATCCCAACAAGTGTCCTCCTTAATGCCCACCACCCATTTAGCCCATCCCCCCACCCGTCTCCCCTCCAGCAACCCTCAGTTTATCAGGGATCCCCTTAATGCTGTAAATGCATGAATAAATACAAAGGAAGGGGTTTTTTTTTTTGGTGTTTTAATTATCCCTCAGAGAGAGGAATAACCTCCTATTTAAGCCTTTTAAAAGACTTACAGTCATTGAGAGAGCCTAATATGCATTTCAAACCACAAAGTAATGTTTTAGGGAGAAAAATACAACTTGAGACTACCAAAATCAATGCAACATTTGGCTCTTCACAGAGGTTCCCTGACACAATCACTTGCCAAAGTAGAAAATAAATGACAGGAAGTGTCTTGCAGAGCTCCTTCAAAAAGCAATAGAAGAAATGCGAGGGGAGCAAAACTACAAGTGAATTCATAACCCTGAGCATTAATAGCATGTGCATCCCTATAGCTCAGGGTAAAATGTCAAGGGACATTATCACACAAACTTTAAATGTGCTACAGTTCGTAAAACTTAGAGGATTTTGCTCTGTAACAGGGCGGCTCTACTCAAAGTGGCTCTACTAACGACAAAAACACTGAAGTCAAACATGTAAGATAAGAACTTGACGATCAAAACGTTTGAGGGGCGACTGGGTGGCTCATTTGGTTAAACATCTGACTTCAGCTCAGGTCGTGATCTTGGGGTTTGGGAGTTCAAGCCCCGCATCGGGCTCTGTGCTGACAGCTCAGAGCCTGGAGCCTGCTTCAGATTCTGTCTCCTTCTCTCTCTTTACCTCCCCTGCTCATTCTCTGTCTCTGTCTCTCAAAAATAAAAAAAAAAAAACCGTTAAAAAAAAAAAGGTTTTTTTTTAGAAGAAAATGTTCTAAAATTGATTGTGGTGGGGCACCTGGTTGGTTCAGTCAGAAGAGCATGCAACTGTTGATGTTTGGGTTATGAGTTCAAGCCCCACATTGGGCATAGACCTTACTTACTTATTTACTTACATGCATACATAAAATTGGTTTAGTAATGGTTGCACAACTCTGTGGACGTATTAAAACCACTAAATTGTACACTTTAAATGGGTGAATCACATGGCATGTGAATCATACTCAATAAAGCGGTTTTTTTAAAAAGATTGAATAAAATCATTTCATAAAACCTGAAAGTAATATAAAGCAATATTTATATATTTCAAACATGCATGTGATTAATTTAAGTAATAGAAATTGACAATGATTTCATTTGACTATTTCATCTACACACCAAAAAGTTTAAAAGAACCAAATTCTGAGAAATCTTTGCAGAGATAATGCAACATTCTCTTATATTCAAACTGCCTCCTATATTTGGAGGGTTACACTGACACTAAATTCATTCTACTTAAAAAAAAAAAAAGAAAGGGATGTAAAATATTTTGGAGTAATTCAATTAAAACATGGTTAAAACTGTAAAAGTTCTGGGGCTTACATTTCCTTTCCTTTCCTAAAGAAACCATTTATATAAAACTGCTCAACCTTAAAACAGCGAGGAGTAAATGTCACTTTTTATGGCCCCAACCCTCTGGTCATGCTATATTATTTTTTCACTGTTAAAATTCTGTATTTTTTACTAAGTTAAAACCAGATTTACAAAATAATCAGGAAATCACCACAAAGCACATGACAACCTCAATTTTTCCCAGAATCAAAGCCAAGGTGAATAAAGGGCTAAATTATTAATCTCTCTATAGATACACGGTAAACAAGATGATGGAGACAAGTGTTGGGATGTCACGGTAGGTCTTTAACAACCTGCTGTGTGACAGTCTACACTCTTGATTATTCGGTCTACCTCCCTCATAAAATTGCCACGAGGATCAGATGAGAGGAGACAGGAAAAGACTCTGGAAACATTGAAATATGACGAATGTATTTTTTTTCAACTGGGCAAAAGATAAGTCTTCGGAACTCAGGGAAGAAAAACAGGCCACACGTCAACCGTGACCAGATAGGACGCAGACATCCAAACAGCAGCAGGATGCCACGCAGTCCTCCATCACTGGGGCCTGTCAGCTAAAGGTAACCCGGTGGTTTCACATAGTTTGTTTCGCACTGTTTTAAAACCAGTGTTTTTTAAATTTTTAATTAGCTGTCAATTGTCTTCAAATCCTGAAATTTCTCTTAAAAACCGAGATTCTCTGTTTTCTCTTTAAAAATTGTAAGATCTAAGAATACTGGGCCTACGTGACAATTTCACTGTAGCTGAGTAGTGGCTGCTGTCTGTGGATATGAGATTTTCAAGTTCCTTTTTGGCCCCTTTCTCTGATTTGCAGTATCTGATACATGCAGGCGTGTGAGTGACCACTGCAAATAAAGATTTCCTAGGAAATGGGTCATGGGTTAGGAAAAACCTGCTTCTCTAATTTTCTGGAAACAGTGGGTTTTAGAGTTGAAATAGGCAACACATTTATCAAGATGTTAGAGAACCTTCGGTTTGGGCTGGTTGAGAAAAGAAGTTCTGTACAAACTGCAGACTGTCACCCTCCCCCCGCAAACACACGTGCACGTGTGCATGTGTGCCCACAGACCAATGTGATGGTGATACTGTTTCTATAAGTTAATAGAAACAAAATATTTGACACAGTTCTCAAAAACTCTCACAGCTATGTAAACGTCAGTGTCATATCATTCCCATTTAATCATCAAACTTGCAAAGCCAAGTATGTCCCTCAATGACGGGCAGCAAAAAACAACAACCAGGGACTTAAGGAAGATTCTTTAAGTGACTTTGTCACTAATCTAATTTCAGAAGGAATTAATAGGTTCCCCAATTTTTGACACACTGCAATCACCTGGGATCTTTGAAAAATATTGATACCTGGTTCCCACCTCCAGACATTCTGATTAAATTAACATAGGTGATCAGGACATTGAAATTTTTAAAATCTCCCCTGCAGATTCTAATGTGCAGCAAGTTTGGAAATCACTGAAGTACTAGAAAAAGTATTCTGGCTCTCTAATGTAGAACAAAATCCTATACATTTCTCATTAGAAGAAAGTACAGAGAGTTCTCAAAGCTCATATGGCAAATGACCAAAGAGTGAAACTGAGGAAAGAAGGTAAGCAAGGGTCACTATCCCTAGCACGCAATAAAACAAGCAACACATTTTCAATTCATTTTTGTGGTTCGAACGGTTATCATGCAATAAGCTGATCCTGAATTACCTTCAACTGACACTAGAATAAAATCTGTCAAATTTTTCACTGAATTGTTAGAACTTGGAAAAACACAGGCAATAGTATCATTAAACCACAAATATTGACTCTAAGCAATATTCTATTTATAATATCATGCACGAAGCGAGGGACACGATCAAAAAGATTCCTTTATGAAATAAAAAAACATCAGGTAATTATGTATCACTCAACCAGTGTTTACCCAGCATCTACCAAATGACAGAGACGGGCACTAAGGATACAGCACCGAACCGAGGAAGAAAACGAAATAACAAATCTACACCCTCACACAGGCTATACAGATGTAGTGTGGGAGGCGAGAAAAACAAGCAAACAAGTAAACTACACAGAAGAGTCAGGGAGTGGGGGATACAGGAGTCAGCTGACATTTGCAACTATAAAGAAAGAAATCTAGTACGGAGACAGTTGAGAAAAGACTTGAGAGCTCGTAGATGACATATGTAATTAGTACATACTAAAGGCTATAAAATGCATTCACAAAGATAATAATAATGCAGGTACAGTCAAATTGATAAATCTGAAGAGTATCGTACCTCCATGTGGAATCTTAGGGTTCTCAGGGAGTCTTCCTGGGTCAGTTATTGAGGCCCTCACTAAAGCAACCAGACAAAATATGGCAATGCCATAGAATACTTTGAAATAAATAAGAAAGTTAAGTAAGTAAATGAGGCATTTATTCTTCAAAACATTTTATCAAGAAGCATATTTAAAGTTTAAATGTGTATTTTCATTAATGCCATCAGGATAATTTTCAAAAACTAAAATGGAAAAGTTAAATGATCCATTTCATTTCATTCATGAAATAATACTGCCACGAGGACTTTCTCAAACGTATTATCTTTAAATATTATTTTGCATAATAACTGACAAACTTGTTATAAATCAGATTTTTTTATTAACAAATTCCTTGTCAATAATGGCATAAGTGAATGGGTTCCCTTTTAATTACTACATGTACTATATGTGACAGAATCAAAGCAGCATTTTAAAACCTATCCTACAATTAAACTTTTTCATGCCTCCAACTGGCTAGCTTCAAAATTACCTTGAGTTAGTGACATTCGATTGCTCCTTTCAATAGATCTTAAAATATTTACATAATGTGAAAATAAAGAATCTAGAAATTTTGAGTTTTTAAGAGTAACTAGAAAAACAGCAGTAAGGAAAAATAGATCCACTCATCATAATTCTGCCTTTTAAATGAATAAAAAATAGGCATTTGGCAGAGGTGGGGGCGGGGCTGTGAAGAGAAGGCAATGCACCTGTAATAGGAAACTTGGTCTGAGCGCTAACCTCAGGGCTGACTGCATGGTACCGATCGGTTTTATCCCTTGTACCACAGACAGCGTGTTACCCACAGCACTTGTGAGGTCGAAATGACATAATGTACAAGGTAACTGTAAATGCCATCCACGTACATGTAAAATATATCATTTTCAATCTTATTCTTTTCATCATAAGCAAGCCAGCACTAAATGAACTACAGCAGAAAATCATTATCCAGAAGTTCAAAGCGTTATCATAAACAACATCGTAATAATTTTTGCATCATGAAATTCTCATTTCTGTAATATACACCATCTTCATTCTGAAAACTCCTTCCACATTTGAAATAAGTACATAATAGAAACACATTAAAAATACACAGACACACACAAAATAGCAGTAATGTGCCAGTTTCATTTTAAACAAAATGACCTTCATATGTTTTGCAGAGTTAGATATGGAGATGACCACATTTATCTAACCCTGCAAAATAGAGAAAAGCCAGTCTTTTTAAAACTTCCATAATTTAGTAAATAACATGAATAATACCAATACTAAAAGAAAGGTTATCATAGTGGCACTATACTCCAAATACATTCACAATGAGAAAATTCTTTAATAATATAAAGAAGTAAAGATCAGAAACTTACTTATTATTAATATGCCTGGAATATGTCCTTCTTCATAGTGAGGAAAGAGGACAATTTTGGGAATTAAGACAATATTGTATAACCAGACAAAGACAATCAAACCCATGCAGCACCAACCATGTGGGTCAACAACAAAGTGAATCCGGAGACCCATTTTGCAGTCCTACAACTGCCTGCCAACCCACAAGGAAGACGACCCTAAGGAGAGGTAAGAAAGAAAAAAATTACTTATATAGAAAAAATTATTTAACTAAAACAAAACTACATTCCTGGCAACTATAAAATGACGTGGAGTTTTCTTTGCATATTTTTGACAAAATGAAACACACTGGAAAACAGAACTTTCAGGACATTCAAGTTTCATCATAAGTTTCACATAATTTAATTCTGGCTCCCACCATGAACTGCTATCATAGGAGCGTAAACTGGCAATACCTTCTGAAGTTAAACACAAGTCTGTCCCGAACCCCGTAATTCCATAGGTTAACCCAAGACAAATGAGACACAGGTCAAAAGATATGTGCCAGATTTTTTAGAACTTTTAATCGTAACACTAACAGATGCTCACACAAGTCAAAATAGTGGTCATCTTGTAGTGGGAGGGGTGTTTACTAACTAGAAAAGGACATAAGGGAAACTTTGAGGGGCTAGTAATGTTCTGTATCTTGACCTAGGTGGTGCTTCAAGGGTACATACACATGTAAAAATTCACGGAACTGTACACTTAAGATTTGTGCAATTTAGTTTAAGTCACAATATAACGCTTAAAAAATCATTTTAAAAAATTTTAATGAAAAGCAAAAAGGAATTACAAATTGGCAAAAATATTTAAATTCATGGAACGAAGCCCAACTAATCTTCTTACTATCAACTCAAGAAGACTCCTGTTTAAAATGCTGGCAAGGATGTGGAGAAAGGGGAACCATCTTGCACCACTGGTGGGAACGCAAACTGGTGCAGACACTCTGGGGAACAGTATGGAGGTTCCTCAAAAAGTTAAAAATAGAACTACCCTATGATTCAGCAATTACACTATTTGGTATTTACCTAAAGGATACAAAAATACGAATTCGAAGGGAGTACATGCACCCCAATGTTTATAGCAGCATTATCAACAATAGCCAAACGATGGAGGGAGCCCAAAAATGTCCATCGACTGAAGAACAGATAAAGAACATGTGGTGTACATACATATACAATGGGATATCACTCAGCCATCAAAAAGAATGAAACCTTGCCATTTGCTATGACGTGGATAGAGCTAGAGTGTATTATGTTAAGCGAAATTAAGTTAGTCAGAGAAAGACAAATACCATATGATTTCACTCATATGTGGAATTTAAGAAACAAAACCAAGGAACGTGGGCAGGGGGGTGGGGAAGAGAGAGGGCAACAAACCATAAGAGACTCTTACAGATAGAGAACTGATGGTTGATAAGGGAGATAGGTGGGGGATGGGCTAGAGAGGGGATGGGTATTAAGGGGCACTTGTTGGGATGAGCACTGGGTGTTGTATGTAAGTAATGAACCACTGAATTCTACTCCTGAAACCAATATTGCACTGTATGTTAACTAACGAGAATTAAGTACAAATTTGAAAAGAAAAAAAAAAAAAAAAAAAAAAAAGAGACCCCCTATTTAAATGGGGCTTTTTTCATATGAGTGTTAAAAATATTTATGGTACCAAAAAAGTGATGTAAAATATATCCCTACCTTAGTAGATATAATTTATAAGCTTAAACAATAAATTACTATATAAGGTCAAGGGGGTACCTTTTATAGAAAATACAATGAATAACACAATAATAACCAGGACAATGTTTCTCAAACCTGTAAACAAACCAGAATCAACTGAGGAGCTTTTTAAAAATACTTATTCACAACCCTCATTCCAGATCTGCTGAATCATAATTCCTTATGGAGTAAAGCTCAAAAACCAATAAAAGGGTTTAAAATGCTCCCCAGGTGTCTCTGATAGAGCTGACCGATATCGAGGAACAGCTGATCCAAAAGCTTCCCTAAGACTTCAACGTTAGGGCAAGGAGTTGAACTCAGTTCAACAAATTTATTCATGGAGCCTCCACTCTATACAAGTTATTATAGATACAGTGATGAAGAGACACTGCCTTTGCTTAAAGAAACCAATAGCCTAGTGGGGGAAAGAATCATAAGAGTTAATAGAACATGCTAAGTTCCAGAGATGTGGACAAGATGTCACCAGAGGCATAGAGGATGGAGACTAGGTAAATTAGGGCAAGACTTCCTGTAACTGGTAAAATAGGAGTTCAGTTTTAAAAGATGAGTAAATGTTACCCAGGGGTGCCTGGGTGGCTCAGACGGTTGAGCGTTTGACTCTTGATTTCGGCTCAGGTCCCGATCTCAGGGTCATGGGATTGAGCCCCTCGTCAGGCTCCACACTAAGTGTGTGGAACCTGCTCGGGCTTCTCTCTCTCTCCCTCTGCCCCCCTTCCATACTTGCTCACTCTCTCGCGTGTGCTCTCTCTCTCTCTCAAAAAATTAAGGGGCCCCCAGGTGACTCGGATGAGTGTCTGACTTTGGCTCAGGTCATGATCTCATGGTTTGTGAGTTCAAGCCCCAGGTCGAGCTCACTGCTGTCAGCCTGTCAGTGCAGAGCCCACTTTGGATCCTCTGTCCCCTTCTCTCTCTGCCCATACCTACTTTACACTCTCTCAAAAAATTAATTAAAAATTAAAAAAAAAGAGAGAGAAGTGACAATACTGCAAACAGAAGGAAGAGCAGGAGGTATAGACGACAAAAATTGTAGGCAGTGTTACAAACTGCCATCACAAATCATAAAGCTCTCAGTGGAGAGCGAGTGATGAGAAGTAAGGGGCTACATCATGGCATAAAGACGCCATGTTACAATGCTGAGACTTCGTTCTTAGGCACTGGAAAGCTACTGAAGCAAGGAAGTTAGCATAATGACATTTATACTTAAAAAAAAAAAAATTACCGACGCTCTAGTGTCGAGGATCAAATTAGAGATCAGTTAGGCTAAGAAAGGGCAAAAGCCAAAATTAGGTTTGGAGAAGAGATCAAGTGAGGAAACAGTTACAACCATCCCAGTAGGTTTTACTAATTGAATGGATATTAGGAGTTACGGAGGAGAGAGTCCAGAATGACTCCCAGATTTTCATCCCTTACTATCATCAGATGAAGAGACTCAGGGTACCACCCCTGTAGAGGTCTTGCCAATGTTCTTTAGGAAAAAAGATTTAGGATTAGCTCATTTTAAAGTAATACCCTGATCCTCTTGTCCTCAGAACATGCAAATACTGGAGCCACAGAAAAAAAGGCAAGAACGCAAATATAACACAACCCAACTGTTTAAATCAGATCTGGTCCTTACGTATGAATTCTAAAATAGGAAAAAGTGTCCAGGCCCTAAAAAAGTAAAAGTTGAACTCCATTACCTTTTAATTAGAAAATTAAGACCTATTGGGATCATTAAAGTGAGGAAAGTCACAGAGTACACTGGGTATCATCATTTTAAAAACCGAAGGAGCTCAAATACAAATGGTATGCTGTCTACGTAGTTAAAATGAGAAACATTAAAAAGAATGTTTATTTTTAAAGTCTTGCCAACCATCAAGTGCTAAAAGAAATGACAGAAGGCTCTGTTTCTCAACATGTTCAATATTATTAACTTCATGTACCTTCTTTCTTGCAACGTTTCAGTTCTGTTCGGGACTGGAAAACAGACCATGAATTCCAATAATTACAGAGAACAGGATACTTTCATTACTTATTCCTAAATTTATTAATATTAGAAACGGAAAAGCAGACAAGCCAGCAAAACAACCAGCAGAACTGTTACTCATTCATTTTTTTGAACTGTCTGTAGTCTCCTCTACCAGAAAATAATACATTTTTTCTTGCAAAAGATTTCTCACAACTGAAAATACTAGATACTGAAAAGTACAGTTAAATGTGTCTTTTCTTCCTGCATGTAAAAGATACAGACAACAAGCTCTAAAAGCATAAGCATCCCCAAGGAAAAGTAAGCCAAGGATAGACAAAGAAAACAATGAATGAGATGGTGAATGTTTTGTTTTTTTTTTAAATACCTGATGAGCGAAAATTAGTGCCACAGAAGCCTTACAGCTAGACTGTCCAGAAGCAAACAGCAGTCTTCCCAGAGCTCCAAATCAGGTTACAACCAGAGACACGTAACTGGCAGAGTTGTAGGGTCACTCCACTCGCTTAATATCCACCAGGCGTGGCTTCCGGCTGAACAGAAACTATTACGCATCCTGACCCACAACCAAACTGAACACACTGCTGCTGTTCGGTCTCCAGGGTGGCATTTGTAAAATACTTTCATTAGCTATAGAGATTCGAACATGCTAATTGGTACATTAAATGGTGAGCTCATGACTCGAACTTTGATGTAACTTAGTAGACCTACTGGTACTTCAACATTTTTGAAGATTGCTATCTGGTAACTCGACTTGAGTGCCATGACTAACTTCAATAATGATGTAAATTACTACCGCACAAACTTTTTTAAAAGATATTATAATTCAACTCTAATAAACCAGACTACATAAATATTTACAACACTCAAACCATTCTAGTAGGAAACCACCTTTCTTTTCTTGCCTTTTCTGGCAACTAAATTTTACCATGTATTTTCCTCGGGAAGAATATTCGAGTCACTCGGAAAAGAAAGGGATTTGGAAAACTATTATATGACAGAAAATGATAACATCAAAATGCACATTTCAGAAAATGATAAAAATTGGCCAAAAGTATTTACAGGAAATCTAGAAATGTGAGCTCGAAACTTCCAGTTTTATAGGACTCTCCGCCTCAGCCACTGGTCTTATGACTGTTCGTGAATATGAAAAAAATATTCCTTCTCTCATTCCTCCTCTCCGAAATGGCCCCATTATTTTGCTTACTTCTATTTCAATTCAAGTCATAATTCAAGGTCAATTTGAATCTCACTCTCCCTATGAAATTCTTCCTGTCACCTCAGTTCACAGTGATTTTTCTCTTCCAAATGCCAAATAAAAAGCAAGAGTAGTGGACGAAAACAGCAAGTGGTTTTATAATCTCAGAATGAGTAAGACCTTCACAAACAAGACCCGTAAGTGAAGCGTAACCACATGAGGATTAAAATTTGTGAAGCCTAAAACACACCAAAGACGAAGTTAAAAGATACAGCATCCCTTTTAAAGAAACATTACAACAGGGCACCTGGGTGGCTCAGTCAGTTAACTGTCCATCCAACTCTTGGTTTCGGCTCAGGTTATGATCTCACAGTTCGGGAGTTCGAGCCCTGCATGGGGCTCTGCACTGATAGTGCAGAGCCTGCTTGGGATTCTCTCTCTCCCCCTCTCTCTCTCTGCCCCTCCCCTGTTGGTGCCATCTCTCTCTCACTCTCTCAAAATAAATAAATAAACATTAAACAAAAAGATTACAACGTATGACTGGTAAGAGGCATATGAAGTAAATACATAGAGAAGCAATTCACAAAGGAAAAAAATTCAGTGGCTCATCATTACTGATGAGGAAAATGTGAAATAACTAGGCCTATTTTTCATCCCTTGTATTTAAAACCTTTTAGAAAGACGGATTATCCAGTCTTGAGAGAGCGTACAGGAGAGGACACTCTCACCCATTGCTGGTATGCATGTAAACTGATACAATCATCTTCAGAGGGCAATTTAGCAGTCTCTATTAAAATGTCAAACTCTTTGACCCAGTAGTTTATTTCTAGTCATAGCTACCAAGGTACTCATCGGAGTGTAGAGGTAGATATACATTCGAGGTGTTGTACACAGTGCCTTTCGTAATCGTAAAGATATGGCACAACTTCAATGTTCACGAAGAGGGAGGGGGACGGTCAAATAAGCTATGAGACCTCCAAGGTGTAGACTATTTCCAAGCCACTGCAATTTTGATTTTTTTATGTTTACTTTTGAGAGAGACAGCGCGAGCAAGGGAGGGGCAGAGAGAAGGGGGGAAAAGAGGATCTGAAGCGGGCTTCTTGCTGACAGCAGAGAGCCTGACGCAGGGCTCAAACTCCCGAACCGTGAGATGGTGACCTGAGCCGAAGTCGGATGCTTAACCGACTGAGCCACCCAGGCGCCCCCAAGCTGCCACAATTTTATAAGAAAAAAAGAAAGGAGAAAAGGACGTAGATCTAGATCGGCACGTGGCTACCCCCACAAAGTGCTGAATGAAAGAATGCAAGTTATATGAGAAAAAGCTTAACAGTGGTTTCCTGGAGGAGAGGAGGATAATGATAGACAAGAAAAGGCATAAAGGGAACTTTCTGGTTCCCTCACAAAGATCTCTATCTTGATAGGAGTCTGAGATACACAGGTTATGAATCTGTCAAAAGTCAGCAAACGTACACTTAAGACTGGTGCATTTCATGGTATGTAAATATGCCTTTTAAAAAACCCTATAAACCAATACTGAACTCTAGTTAATGATACGCAGGCTGAAGTATCGGGGAGGGAGTGGAAGAAATGTACTGATATCTGCAATTTACTATGAAACGGAGCCAAAAAAAAATAAAAAAGTGGATTGTCAGATGGACCAAGAGATGGATGAGCATGTGACGAAGCTTAATAAAACATTAGTTATATCATCTAGGTAAGGGATATTCAGATGTTACACTATAAAATTTTTTCAACTCTTGTGTTTAAAATTTTTCAAATGTAAATGTTACAGGGGAAAGCAAATTACAGAAAAGTTTGTATGGCATTATTGTTTTTTGTCAAAAAAAATATAGGGGTGCCTGGGTGGCTCAGGCAGTTAAGCGTCCAACTCTTCATTCCGGCTCAAGTCATGATCTCACAGTTCATGAGTTTGAGCCCTGCATCGGGCTCTGCGCTGACAGCATGGGGCCCTCTTGGGTCTGTCTCTCTGTCTCTCTCTCAAAATAAATAAACTATTTAAAAAATAACATGTGTGCGTAAGTAAAAAAGTATAGAAGGAAACACATCCACCAACCTGTTAACACGAGTGGTTATCACTGGGCTTACGAAGGACACAGTAGTGAGAAGAAAGCTCTCACTTTCTATGTATGGATTATGGGTTCTTCTAAGTTTGTTAATAAACATATGTACTTATAAATTCTTTTCCACCAACTGAAAAATAAAGAAACCTGAGGGAGTCTGATTAGACACCACAACCTTATACACAAAATATTTAAGTCTCTCGTTATCACTATATTTATTACCCTTATATTAAATGGTTTTAAAATTAGTATTTTTTTAAATGTAGTGCAGAAGCATCAGCTGCAAGTCATATCAAATTTGTAATTCAGAAAATGTTTCTGAAATTCATATTACGTACAAATTACTTTTCTCATGGAAAAAGAAATTTCTTATTTAAGAAAATGTCTAACTAAAATTTAATATGAAATGTTTTAAATAAACATAATGTAACTACAGTTATCTTTTTTTAGAAATTTTTTTAGAAATTATTTAATGTATCTAAACATAAGACTTTAAGGATACTAAGACACATAATACAGAAACATATTCCCCGCATAAAATTAAATGTAGACTTACCAATTGGAAATTCACCAAGATGTGTTGTAATTTTTCTGGTACTTGCATTTAGAGGTTTTATCTTGATTCATTCTTTTTTTAATTACATCCCAACAAATGGATCTCTCCTCAATAACCGTTCTCCATGAGAATCTATTAATGATTTAACAAATAATGATCTCTCACAAAAGATAAAAATTATAAGCCACTAAAATATTCTGACTGTGAAAATGTCAATTACAAAGGTTTTAAAGTCAGAAATAAGAGAACTCCATTTCACCTGACTTTGTTTTCATTTCCCACCCCATCTCCCCCAAAATCTGCACTTGATTTCCATCATACATGAAAGTTCTCTCTTTTGAAACCACCCAGTTCCCATAAAATCAAATTAGTATCCTGTGTCCAACATTTGGGCTTCATCAAACTCTTGACCACAAAGCACAAAATGACAACAGATTCTGAGATCACTCATGAGACAAGATGCAATGTAATGTCTATCAAGATGTGAGGCTAGAACTATCCAATTGCAACTGATTAACATAAAATGAAGAGTTTAAAATAGAAGCAAGTTTTAGTTTAAAATGCTGTAAGGAAAAGTGATCCTCCTATAATGAACCGTTAAGAGAATCAACCGTAAAAGTTAGCTTCTATAGTTCGAGCTTAAATAATAATACCGTAGAGAGTTCTAGATAATATACATCTACCAATTCAGTATTTCACTAATTCAATTAACCTCTATTGACTGTACATTATGCCTCTGCACTGGATACAGATAAAAAAGAGATGGGCCCCATCCTCAATGGAGACAGACTAGTAAACAGACAAGATCGATACCATGTAAGACAACATAAGATAGGGGGCAAGAGGGCAAGAATGCATCTCATAGAAGATGGGTATTGGCTCATGGAACTTTTTTCAGTTATGTGAGTATTTATGTGCATACAAGGTGGCAATACAGAATGCATTTCTCATGGTAAGTTGCCATCAGGAAAAGGTTTCTGGAGAGAGTAAACCTGTGAGTTAGCGCGTCAAAGAACGGAGGCTCTTCTGACCACGGGAGCAAAAGAAGCAAAAGTACAAAAGCAGGCAGAGAAAACCCTAGTAAAGTGAAATGCCTGGTCATTGCACATGGAAGAATGACGTAAAACATGTTTAACCTTCGGAGCACACTCAACTCCAAGAAATATACTTCATTACAACATCAGTACACACAGAAATATAAATGTTTGCCACTCTGATTATATGAAATACATGACTGAAAAAGTCTATTTAATATACGTGATGTACTCCGCTACTGTTCTTCTATTTTACTCTAGTTCATTTTAAATACATACATAATTCTAGTCACAGCCCACTCAAGTGATTTCATGACCCACAAGAAACGAGTGATCCCAGTGAAAAACACTGTTAAACTATGCCAATGAGTCTGGACTTTGCGCTTGGCAGAGTGGGAAATCACTGTAGGATTTCAGGGGGAAGAATACCATGATGAAGTCTGCACCTTGAAAAGAATAGCCATGCTATGAAGAATGGACTTGGGCGGATGGATAGTGCTCCAAAACTGACTATATAAAATAAGCTACTGGTCACCCAGGTGAGAAATGAGGGTACATGATAAGGCCACAACAGCAGTGACTTAGAAGGGGGGTGCGGAGAGGAGGGGGTGAAGAAGGAACACTTAAGACAGGAGGCATGTGGAAAGGGGCAGATTAAGAATTTAATGAGTAAAACTAGGGCACCTGGGTGGCTCAGTCGGCTAAGCAGCCAACTCTTGATCTTGGCTCAGGTCCTGATCCCATGATTCGTGAGATCGAGCCCCGCGTCAGGCTCTGTGCTGACAGAGCAGAGACTGCTTGAGATTCTCTCTCTCCCTCTGTGCCCCTCCCCTGCTCGCATGTTCTCTCCCTCTCTCTCAAAATAAATAAATAAACTTTAAAAAATTTAATAAGTAAAACTGATAGAACTTGGTGATCAATTGGAATCAAAGGGCAGGTTGTAGGATGGCTCCCAAGTTTTCCGCTTAGGGACTATGTAAAGGGTGGTACCATTCTCCAAGACAGGAAATAAACAAGTTACAAGTTTGTTAAGCATACTGCTTACCAAAGCAAAAGGAAACTGTTACATACTGAGGATGTGAAAAATACACCAAAATCATTATCATTTCCATTCCCTGTATAGATTTTTGTAACTGTATTTTCTCCCAGCATCAATTACTCTGTGGTCCATGATTGTCAGATTGTCAAATATAATTTGTTTCTACTCTAACTTTCTGAACTAAGCTAAGAATGGTTTCCTTGCCTGCACCTTTGATTTTTAGAGACAAAATATGGAATGACAAAGTAGGGGAGCTGCTACTCTAAGAGCAAATGAACGTATTCATCTTCCTCTAGAAAAAAATCTCACACAGAATTAAATGTGGTACAACAAAATATTCTGAAACATGGCCTAAGTCAACAATGCTGCTATGGCTCAGATTCCAGGGTGGCTTCCTAATGTTTCAGCAAAACAGTACTTCCTGTCAGTATTATTAGGTAATAGCACAAGTCAACCGTCTATGAGTCAAACCGCAGTCATTCACTGGCTTAGACTCCAGGACACCTCCTACATGTACAGTTATTACAGCCACCCTGCAGCCAGAGATAGCATCCAAATGGGATAAACATTTTATCTAATTCAACAGTCTCACTGACATCACGGAATCAAATCTCACCTAAGAGGGACAGAAACAATGCTAGGCTTAAAACTTCAGGTAATTTTGGGATAACAAAGAACGTACCAAAGTTTCATAACTATAAAGGGTCCTTAAATATTTTTAACATTGCTATTTCTAAAAGAATACAATAAAACTTCCCACAGAAAGTTCCCAAGAGAGATGGTTAATATGTGAAAATATAAAATTTAAACTTATAATTGCTTTTTTTAATTTTTATTTAAAAATATTTTTTAATGTCTATGTATTTTTGAGAGAGACAGAGGCAGAGTGCAAGCAGGGGAGGTACAGAGAGGAGACACGGCATCTGAAGCAGGCTCCAGGCTCTGAGCTGTCAGCACAGAGCCCGATGCGGGGCTTGAATCCACCAACCGTGAGATCATGACCTGAGTCGAGGTTAGACGCTTAATGGACTGAGCCACCCTGGCACCCCTAAACTTATAACTGCTTCTGAAAATAAAGTTACAACTATATACTTTTAAACATATTTATACAGACATTTAACTTCTGATGTTATCTACTCTGAAAATTGGCCACATTAAATAATTCTACCTAAACTATCAGGCTATAGCTGTCTCTAACAATTAGCCAACAATGTAATTCAATTTTTTAAATACACATAGGTATTCAGTTTATTTCAACAGCGTAGGAAATTGACCCTGTGGGGATACGAAAAAGAGAGCCACGTTCAAATTCTGACACAGCTTATTAGCTCTCCAGGCTGCAGTTTCTTCTCAAGCTTCAGTTTAGCCATCTGTAAAATGGTGATAAAAATAACTCCTGGAATTGTCATCACGCTTAAATGAGAAACTGCCTGACAAATGATAAGGAACTCTCAAAATAGTAACTTGAAAGGGGAGTGGGGATAGGAGAGGAAGAGAGACAAAAGAAGTTTTACTTCTAGTCTTGTAACCTCCAGATGTTTCTGGGTCCCCATTTTTAAAAATCGAGTCGTGATACAACTTAACCACGCCCCAGCTCTACTTCCTCTAAAGCTAACATCTGAGAACACTTGTCAAAGATGAGCAATCTCAGGAGACCCAGCCACTCAGCTGGTATGTACTAGAAGCATAGAGAGAAGTTTTCTTTCCACATGTTGGCATGAGGTCTCCTCAAGCAGAAAACCGAAAACAGAGATCTGATCTCAAACAGAGAGACTGAACTAAAACCTGTAAACCCAATCTCTTTGGGCTGGTAAGTTAAGGACGGAAACATGGGAGCAAATCAGGACCCAATTTCAGAAATTAGTGAAGAATGAGTTAGTGAAGTCGGGAACTTAGACTCAACGCTGAGTTCTCCAAGAAGACTCTGTGAAAATGTGGTGGGCAGAGGTGTCAAAGCAGAACACCCTTGCGCCATCAATGGTCTCACGAACCCGCTTCTAGAACAGGTCTTCAAATCACTCCATTCTAGGCAAAACTGAACATGAGCCATTACTCCTCTGTGTACCTGCTTCATGAGTGAGAAATAAAGGTAAGTTAATATCTCTATTAAAAATATTGCACTACAGGGACACACTTCATCAGAATCTCCTAACAGAAAGTACAAATAGCTCGGAAGGTGTGGACGATACGAATTAAAGAGACCAAATGTTGCTTCAGTCAGTACAAAATGTCGGCATGGGACTCTTCATGTAGGAAGGCAGGGATGCGGGAAAGGGCCAGGAAAGACAAGAAAAGAATTGGGAGTTGAATGCAGAGCAGGGACGGAAGACAACAGATAAGCTTTGGCTTCAAACATGGCACAAGGAAACCCTTCGGATACAGTAAAAGCCAGAAATGAACCTGGCAAGTTCTTCCAAGGGGGAAGGGAAACTAGCGACTTACCCCTAGCACCCACTACACCAAGATAGGTTGAAAAAAGAAAAAAACAAAAAACCCTAAATCAGAGGTCTTTCACACCAAGTTTACCAAAGCAGGCTCAGTTTAAGAATAACACTAAAAGACCAAGTGCCTGGGTGGCTCAGTTCGTTAAGTGTCCAACTTTGGCTCAGGTCGTGATCTCACAGTTTGTGAGTTCAAGCCCCACATCAGGTTCCTCACTGCTGATGGGGAGCCTGCTTGGGATTCTCGCTCTCTCTCCTCTCTCTATGCCCCTCCCCCACTCACGCTTTTTCTCTCTCTCAAAACTAAAAAAAAAAGAAAATAACAACACTAAACGAGAAAAAAAAAAAAAAATCACTCCTGACTTGCTTGAAGCTGAACACCCTGCAGTAGGTTAGGTTTCATTCCGTAATTATGGGATAAAAGGCTTAAAATCAGAAGCCTGGTTGAGATCACACCTAGCGTGTTGAGTTATAACTACAATAAAATTAATCAGTGAGTGGTAAAATACTAATTTTACCTAACCTGCCCTTTTGTGGAAGCAGTAACAGGTAGATGGAGAGAGCAGATATCTGCTCAGGCTCTTAAATGAGGTTAATCTACCCAAGGGAAAAA